GAAGAAGTACAGCCAGAATGCTCCTTAGAAGCAAGGATGGCAAGACTACGTCTCACATACTTTGAACATGTTATCAGGAAGGATCAGTCCCTGGAGAAGGACATCATGCTTGGTAAAGTAGAAGGTCAGCGAAAAAGAGGAAGACCCTCAGTGAGATGGATTGACACAGTGGCTGCAACCCAATGGGCTCAAATATAACAATGATTGTGAGGATGGCACAGGACCAGGCGGTGTTTTGTTCTGTTGTACATTGGGTCGCTATGAGTCAGAACCGACTCCACGGCACCTAACAACAACAACGAATCACCAGGTCTTTCTCCCACTAAGCTTCTGAGTGGGTTCCAACTGCCGACTTTTCAGTTAGCAGCTGAGCGCTGAACCATTTGCACCACTTTGGGAGAACATATAGGTAAATGAATGTGCTCAGTTACCAGCTTGGAACTTGTACAAGCTTACTGTCCTGAAGCAAAGAACAGATGGTGGGCGGGACACATGATGACTCTTCTTACATCTTTTAAGTCCGGTGTTTTTTCATCCAGGCACCTCTGTTTCTCATGCTGGTTCTGTTGCCTTCTGGCTAACAGAAGCTGCTTCCAGATTCATGCTCTAGAACGGCTGCTGGCCCTTGGGTTTGTGCTAAAGTGGCCCTGGGTGAGGGGGGTGGTGAGAGGTGGGAGGAGGCAGGACAAGGCATGTTGCAGATAGTTATGAAGAAAGTAGGAAGTATCTGTTCAGGGATTGTAATAGGCACCCTTTCTCAAATCTTAGTTTGTTTGCTTTTTAAATAACTCTTAACATAAACTTGTGACTAATTATAAATTCCGCTCGTCAGCTTTTCTCATTCTTCTGACTTTCGTATGTCTGCATTGTGTGTGGTCCTCTGCCTGGGGTCAGCATGTATCTTCCTGCCTCACAGGTGAGGACAAGTGTCCAGGAGAGGCTCCACCCACCAAGCCCCTCCAGCTCAAGTGGTAGAGGGAGGGGGTTACCCCAAAGCCAGAGCCCCTTACCATTGCCCTACCAACTCCTTAAAAGGAGACTGGCCATGTCCCTCACCTGCCACAACTGCCCAGGGCCCCAGGACCTGCAGCTGTCCTGCTGATCAGTGCTGACATGCCCCACGGTATCTGGAGAAGTCACGACGTGCTGTTCATTTGTATTGTGTGTGGTGTGCCAGTTCTAAATCTTGAAATGCAGTCTTTTAACAATAGCGACCCTGTACAACAGAAGGAAATACCGCCCGGTCCTGCGCCATCCTCACAGTTGTTGCTGTGTTGGAGCCCATTGCAGCCACTGTGTCAATCCATCTCATTGAGGTTCTTCCTGTCTTTTGCTGACCCCCTACTTTACCAAGCATGATGTTCTTGTCCAGGGACTGGTCCCTCCTAATAACACATCCAAAGTTCGTCAGACAAAGTCACACCATCCTAGAAGCATTTCTTAGATACAATCGATGTACCAAAATAATGTCTTGGAAGAAGTGCAACCAGAATGCTCCTTAGAAGCAAGGATGGCGAGACTACATCTCACATGCTTTGGACATGTTGTCAGGAGGGATCAGTCCCTGCAGAAGGACATCATATTTGGTAAAGTGGAAGGCCAGGGAAAAAGAGGAAGACCCTCAGTGAGATGGATTGACACAGTGGCTGCAGTAATGGACTCAAGCATAACAATTGTGAGGATGGTGCAGGATCAGGCAGTGTTTCATTCTGTTGTACATAGGGGCACTATTAGTTGGAACCGACTCAGTGGCACCTAACAGCAACGACAACATCATATGTACCAAAACTCATTGCTATTGGGTTGATTCCAACTCATAGCAACCCTATCAATGTAGGCCATCATTTTCTTTCTCTTTCAGACTGACTCCAGTATCCAGGCATTCTTTATGGGCATAGATGGCCTGTGCACCAAGTACTCAAAGGAAACCTCCCAGGTGAGTGGTGGGCACAGGCTGCTCTTCCTCAGGATGACTACATCTGCCTGTCTGGTCAGCTGAGGCTGTGGTTTGGGGATACGGGAAAACCAAACCTGTTGCTGTCGAGTCAGTCCCGACTCATAGTGACCCTATAGGACAGAGTAGAACTGCCCTAGGGTCTCCTCAGCTGTAATCTTTACAGAAGCAGACTGTGGAGCAGTTGGTGGGTTTGAACCGCCAGCCTTTTGGTTAGCACTGTTCCACCAGGGCTCGGTTTGGGGAAGCCCAGGGTAAATTATCTCAAAAGGGATCGTGTATTTTATATACCCTGGATGCAAGTCCCTTCTCAGATATTTGATCAGCAAATACATTCCCTCATTTCACTTTCTTCCTGGGAAACATTTGTAACATCAATTGAGAAAATTCTGGAAACCCAGGAGCCAAGAGGGGTGGGCACATGCGAAGCTGGTGTTTGTTATTCTTGGTCAGGAGTAGGCCTGTTTAACGAAGGCAGTTCCACCTCACACACAGTGGAGGAGCAGGGAGTGGGAGCCTTGTATGTTGGGGGCAGTTTTGCTTTCCCCAGGGGAGTCTTCTCCCTGTACTGCACCAGTGAGTCCCGGGGCGGGAGGAACGCACATGGTTGCTTTGTGTTTGTGTTTTGCTAGCAGATTCTTGAGGCAGCATGATAGATTTATAGGATGTTGACTTTTAGTACTAGTTCAGCCTAACCTCTCTGTTGTCTATGAGCTCTGTTGACCAGTGGTCTGGACAGAGGATGATAACATTAGGCTTAAACAATTACAGTCTGGTATTTCAAGAGGGTAAGCATCATTATCTGAAAATCTGACTTACATGAGTGGGTTTTTCCTCTTCTGAGTAAATCCTACACCACTATTTTCTAATTTATGTTGGTATTCCCAGCAGCCCAGTTCAAATTAGGATCTGCAACAGAAGCGGAATGGTGGGCTCATATAGATGAGGAGTCAAGGGATGGTGTCTGTTTCAGGCATAGCTGACTCTGGGAGTTCAGACCAGGGCCCCCAGGCTCGGAATTTCTCGGCTCTTCCAGAGTCTGCTTGACTTCCTTCTGTATGTCTCTTCTACCCCACCCCCCACCCCCACTCCCTGGACCATGTGTCAGTTTCAGGAATGTTCTCTGATCGGTGCTGTTTGGTCAGGAGTCCATTCCACGGGCAGCACACAGGATTGGTCCGTCGTGGGCCACGTGTCCCATCCCCATGGCGGGGGGTCGAGAGCATCACTAAACCAGCAGGGAGGGGAAGGGCTGCTGGGAGACAGGACTCAGGGCCTCCTGAGCTCTTTCTGTTGAACAGGTTAAACTGAACTTGTGCTTGCGTTTGGCGGTGCCCTGCTGGCATGTGACTAACCCATTCACTGAACAAAGGAGCACCTAGCGTCTGCTGTGGGCCGGGTGCTGGGAATGTGGCAGAGCCAGCAGCCCCTGCCCTAGTGGACCCCGCGGCTGGGGGGAGGAGACCAGTGTGTGTCGGGGAAATACCTGTGAAACGGAGCACGTCGTCGCTTGGTTCCCCGTGACAAAATGTTCTACGGTGGAGACCACGTGCTGGCGTCAGCAGCTGAAATGTGTTCTATTCTCAGATTTCAGAATTTCAAGAAAAACACAGGAAGAGATTGTTAGCCTTCTACAGAGAAAAGGTAAATCCAGTTAACTCATTGCCTCTGGAAGCTTTTGACTTGTGATTTAATGTCAGACTTGTTATCTAATGCTCCCCTCTTAATGGTGGTGGACTACCTGACATGAGGTCTGCTCTTCGCTGCTGTTCCAGTTACAGGGCAGGCTTCTGATCTGGGGGACCATCACCGTATCCCCTCCTGACCATCAGCCTGGTCTCAGTGGGCCATGTAGCCTCTAGGGGCCAACCTAGCTGGATGGTTTCTTTTTTCCTTACAATTTGGTACCTGGGGGCAGTTTCACCTTCGGAAATTCTGGGATTAGATCTTTGAAATGTTGACCCATCATTATCCTTCCAACTCATTAGATACCTTTCCTTAAACTGTAGTTGTAACGTATGTTCTGCTAATCATTATAAAAGGAAATTAGAAATACCTATTCATTTGCAGTATAGGATTCTCCTTACTTGATTTTTAGTCAGCTGAAGAAAAATAAAATTTTAGTGAAAACAAGAAATAGCCTGGCACTTCAGTCCCACGTTAACCCACATGATTTGGATTAGCGGACTCTCCATGGAGGGTGTGTAGACCGGGAGAGGAAGGACGCAGGTGGAGCTGGGGTAGGGGACACCGAAAGGTAGGCATGCAGCAGGAGGGGCACACGTAGACCCCCCCTCCAGACTCCAGGGTGACTGTCGGGCCACCCACTCTGGGGCCACCCTCCTCACTAGGCTGCTGGTGCACTGGAAGCAGCTCATATAAACTCCTCCATTCCACCACCTTTTATTTTTGTTTTTTTATTTATTTTTGGTTTTAAATTTGAAGGTTTGGAATAAGAAACATAAAGGGACTGACTTTGAAGACTCAGTATCCTGAGGTCCCTTTCTAGAGTCTGAATGTTCCCCCTTTACGTGGCCTCTGTCTTGACGCTCCTGCCACCTCTTTTCTGGGCCCAAGTAGAACCTGGGCGTCCATGAACAGTGTGGCCCTCAGGCCTGTGGCCACACGTGCTCAGTGCAAAAGAGCCTCCTGCCCCTGCCTTCTCCCTTGTCCCTCCTATATGTCCTGAGGCCGGTCCTGGGTTGGGAGTGCCGGGGGCGAAGGGAAAAGCGAGGGAGTGATCTACGGCAGAGAGGTCTGCCAGGAAGAGGCAGTCACTGCACTGCCTCTGCAAGTAGAAACCACGGTTAATCCAGCGTCCTCTTCCAAGTCCTGCTTCTCCCACTCCCTTGGGCCGGCCACAGGCCCCATCTTACTCCTTGCTCCACGGCAGCTACAAAGCGGCAGGCCTCGGATCCAAACCAAATGGAATTGCAAAGACTGCTTTTGAAAAGATTTTGGTGCGTTATACCATTTTTGTCTTCTTACATTTTGAGGACGAATACTCTGATAAAAACCTGGCCAGGGCTGAAGTTGATTTGGGCTTCTGCTCACACCTGTTAGTACCACCCTAGTCTGTGGGAGCGGCAGATCAAAATGTGTCTCCTGGGGATTGGGGTTGAGTTAGCTTTGCAGTGATGACTTTCAAAGGCCAAGGTCATAAATACTGAGTGAATCGGACTTCATGTGAATTTGCTGACAACTAGCTTGAGGGAACCTTCAGCATTCTGACTGATGGTTTGGAACATTCAAAGGGTCAACGTCGTCTTTAAACTGTCACTTGGCGTCGTCTGTCCTGATAACTAGACGTCGTTTGGTTATGTTTAGATCTCTCAGCTGGAAGAATCACTTCAGAAGGCAGTGCTGCAGATAGAACAGCTGCAAAGGTGAGGTCCTTCTCAGTGAGCCTCGGAGTGTGCAGTAGTCAGCATGAACGACTGCGTCTGTGGTCAGCCTTCTCCCGAACGAGCTAGAACCGCTCAATCCAAAAGAAGCCACACCACCTCCACAGGCAAGGAGGCCTGAGAGCAGTGGAGAAAGACCAGAGAAAGATGACCGCAGATGCAGCTGTAGTCACACGCCAAGTGAGCAAAGAGCACTTTCGTTTGCCAGCAACTTCTGCCCAAGTAAAAATACCGTGGGAAAACCGAAGGGAAGAAAGGGAGACGGGAAAAAACAGACGCGTGATTCCGCTGGTGGGTGGGCTCAACAGTGATTCCCGAGGCAACAGGAAGGGGCCTGGCTGGCATGCTGGCAGGAGAGAGCACGAGGCTGCTGCTGGGAGCAACCAGCCCTGCCCAGCGGACTCTGCAGCCTGTTCACCTCCCTCCTGCCAGGAAGTATAGAGGGTCTGTCTACACAGCATACTGTGTGTAAAAGCCCATAGTGAGTACATGGTGCATTTTAGAGAGACACACCAAAAGTGGCTGGAATTCACCAGAAATGGTGGCAGAAAGTATTGCACTTCAGCACCTGGAAAATCTAGCAATTGAAAGTTCTCCTTTTTTGTCCATTTTGGCTCATCAGTGCCTTCCCCGCTTTGCATCTGTGTGAATGCCCGTTTTTCCGCATGAGTGACCCTGAAATGTGGGGTCAGTCACGTGCTGCAGTTCAGTTAACACAGTGGTCCACCGCGCATGTGACAAAACTCGACACGCCTTACATCCACTGGTGTCTTCGATTTTATGAAATAGGATTTTTTCTTAAGCATTTCTTAGCATGTTGAGTAGTCAGAAGTCACAGTTTAGAGGGTCACACATTAATTAAAGCGTCACGGGAGTCGATGACTCTGTGGGTTACTGTCTGCCACCCCGTGTGCCATGTGGCAGTTCACCTCCTACGGCAGCTCGGGGGCCACGGGGCAGGAGACAAGCTCTGACTGCAACATCACAGTGGCCCATGGTCCTGCTCCTGACTGCCACTCCCTGGGGTGAAAAAGACGTCTTTCAGCTGTCATTTGTGCATTGTAGGAGTTGCTGTGTGCTTATTTTGTGAATAGTGCGTTCTAGGGGTCAGCAACTACAGGCTAAATCAGTCCCCGGTGTATATTTTATATCGTCAAGTGAGAATGGCTTTTACATTTTTAGAGGGTTGTAGAAAAAAGAAAAAAGAAAAGAATATGTGACAGAGACCTGATGTGACAAAGCCTAATATACTTAACTGATGTTGTTGTGAGGTGCCATCAAGTCAGTTCTGACTCACAGCTACCCTATGTACAGCAAAACAAAACACTGCCTGGTTGCCCATGATCGCAGCCACTGTGTCTGTCCATCTCATTGAGGGTCTTCCTCTTTTTCGCTGACCCTCTACTTTACCAAGCATGATGTCCTTCTTCAGGGACTGGTCCCTCCTGACCACATGTCCAAAGTACATGAGACGAAGTTTCGCCATCCTTCTAAGGAGCATTCTGGATGTACTTCCTCCAGGAGAGAGTTGTTCGTTCTTCTGTGTGTCCGTGGTATATTCAGCATTCTTCACCAACACTATAATTCAAATGCGTCAATTCTTCTTCTATCTTCCTTTTTCATTGTCCAGCTTTCGCATGCATATGAGGTGGTTGAGAATACCATGGCTTGTATTGGATACACTCTAGGCATCAAAGTGACATTTTTGCTTTCTAAGGTTTTAAAAGAGGTCTTTTGCAGCAGATTTGCCCATTACAGTATGTCATTTCCTAATTTTAAACCACGCAATATCCTCTTGTTCTGTTCGAACAGCTGCCTCTTGGTTTATGTATGGGTTCCTCAAGAGCACAAATTAAGTGTTCTGAAATTCCCATTCTTTACTAGGGGCCCTTTATAGAAAATTTTGCCAACTCCTGCTTTAAAGTATCACAAGAGTAAAGACAGGTACTTCTAATGTATCTAAGTGTGGAATTACTTTTATTTATCCTCGTTAATGTATACTTTGCTTTGCTTCTGTGGATTCATGCCTTTCATTAATTCTGGAAAATTCTAAACCATTAACTTTTTAAATATTGCTTCCCCCCCAGTCTCTTTCTGCCAATCTATTATGAACATAACAGACCTGCTCGTTTTGTCTTCCATGTCTCTTAGCCTTTTTTTCATGATTCCTGTCATCTTAGGTTGCTTTGATATATTCCAGGTGATTTCTGCAGATCCATCCGTCTTCCAGTTCCCTAATCCTCTACTCAGGTCTGCTGCTCCATAACATCTGTGGAGTTCTTATTTTGACTATTATGTTTTACATTCCTAAAATATTCCTTGTAATTTTTATATTATTGTGTCACTTGCTTATTTTTCTGCCTCCATATTTTATTTCTCTAAGCATCCTATAGGCAATTGTTTTTCCCATACCCGGTATCCTCAGGAATCCAAATCCACTGTTTCCCTCTGATTCTCACTTGAGGTGATTTACTTCCGGTATGGCTCTTGGTCTTTAGTGAGGTCATGGGTTGATCTCAATCTGTGGACACGAGGGCTCGTGTTGCCCATGTTTTCCTCCAGAGAGGATTCACTTGTACTTCCGCTGGGCTGGGGTTACAGACCTGTGACCACTTTTGCCCCAGTTTTGACTCCCCTCCCCCTCCTTGTCCCTGCCTGCAGATAAATCATTCAATGCTGCATGGACTTGAGGTGGTGGTATTATTGCTGACTTCCTGTTATTCTTGTCTTTTAGGAGGGTGGGGGCCCATGGAGAGCCCAGCATGTAACAAAATCTGCGCCATGGTCATTTTGACGCAGAAGTGAGTGCACGACGCAGAGGGCTAGAGTGTCTTTACCCTCTGTGGCCAGTCAGTCACTCTGCAGGTCTTTACTGAGCTCCTGGTGTCTGCCCGAGCCTGTTCTGGGCACTGGAAATTCAGAGTGAGCAGAGCAGACGAAACCCCTGCCCTCAGGGAGCTGATATTTTTAGGGGGAGGAAGACAGTGAACACCATGGCAGGCAGGGCAATGTGCTGTGTACAAGGCTTACTGGAGCTGGGTCAGGGGACCGAGGAGCAGGGGTGCCAGGGAAGGCTCTTGGAGGTGACCTTGGGCAGGGACCTGGAGCAGTGAGTCATTGCATAATTATGTGCTCCTTACTAGTCTCATCCCCAGACTGGACTCCTTGAGGGCACCATGGTTTGGTTCGGTTTCTGAGGTGCCTGGTTCCCAGCCCCATCTGTCCCAGAGGAAATGGGTGTGTGATGGGGCAGAGGAGAAGGCCTGGCCTCCTCTTCTGTTGCCGTTGGTGCCCCTGTGTGCGTCTGAGAACAACACGCTTCACAACGTTCACATGCACATCTCCAGTGCCCACCATGCCCCGTGAGACAGACAGGGCACGCAACTGCACACGCCTGGATCTGGTGCCTATGGTTAGGGCCCCAGGTGCGGGAGCTCTCTAATCTGAAGTGCTCAGTGCGGCAGGGCCTGAGCTGGAACGCCGGACTTTGGACCTCAGGCACTGTTGTTTTTGTCAGTTGCTGCCTGGTGGAGATAGATCCAGAACTTCCATCAACTTTAAAAAAACAACTCACTAACTTTTCCACAATAGCATTTCTCTTGATGATCTCTAAAAAGCAATTTGGTTGTAATAACTTGGTAGTTCCCGCTGTGACGTCTTTATTTCCTATGTTTCACACCTGCAAATGGCCATTTGTCCAGTGACAGTCACAAGAACCAGTTGTGTAAATGGCAGTGAGTATTAATTGCATCTTCCAGGAGGGCCTGGGGCAGGCGGCACAGTCAGACCTGTAGGACATTGCAGAGAACCGCTAACCAGCTTGAAGTGCCCTTTGTCAGCCTGATAAAAACGTGCTTGTTTCACATTCTTCTTATACTTTCACTTGGAATGAATTAGTTGAAAGTCAATTTTTATGGCTTCATCCAATACCTTTTTTCCGTCTGTTTAGTATGAGATCATCGCAACAGGCGGCTTTCAACATAATCAAAAATCCCATATCAAGTAAGTAAAATAATGCCTAAAAGGGGAGAAGATGACAATGCGTGCTGCTGAAATTCACCCAGTAATGCGCTAACATTAAGATTTTTTATCACAGCGCCTTCAGCAAAGCCAAATGGACATCTGCTCCTTCCACCTAGTTCATCAGCCTTGGAAAGGTATGTGTGCATCGATGCTGGGAATTCACGAAAATCACCCAACCAGCATTTGTAAGTTGCACAAGTTCTTCTTTTGGACACTCTTACATTTCCCTTCCCATCCCATGGCCTCTCCGAATCCCCAGGTCTTGCATAACCGAAATCTTGGACGTTTTGCTGACATTCAACAATACAGTCAAAAATTGGGCACTCAGAGGCTTGCGATTCCAGCTCCCTTTCGTACTTACCATACAATTGCAGTGGATGTTCCAGCTGATTGTGTGAAGGCTTGGGTGGGAAGAGGAGGGAAAGAGAAGGTAGAGCTGCTGGATCTCATCTTCTAGGGCTGGAGAGGAGCGATACAGATGCTTCCCCAGGACCTGGAGAAATGAAACTCAGGAGAGAAAGAGGAGCTGTTATTGAAACTGTCATGCACGAGTCCAAGTGTGTGTTAGCTTTAGGAGCCTTTGGTGTCAGCTTGGAATGGTTCTGCCCCACATGGGTTGTGCTCAGGAAGCCTTTCTTCTCCTGGTGGGGCTCAGGGTCCAGAACAAAGTGAGTATGTCATCCAGGCTGGCCAGTTAGTACCCCATCCTTGTGGCCATAGTGGTTGGTTTGAGAATGTCATGTACCCCACATATTGGACAAATGTGAATCAACACTGGGACTTTTGGTGGAGCTGTCTAAAAAGAGAGACACGCTGGCCAAGCTAGAGCTGATCTTTCCCACTGTATGGGGAGGGCCAGCTCAAAAGCGAGTCCACCGTTCCGAGGAAGGTAGGACTGAGATACAGACTGTGTGGTGGCATCATTTGGGGCCTCCATCCCTCCCTGGCTGACGGGAGATCGTCCAGAACTTCTCAGTTACAGAAACTAGTAAATTCTTTCTCCCCTTTTTTTTTTTTCCCCTTAAGATAGTTTGAGTTGTGTTCACCTGTAGCCAGAGAAGTCCTGACTGAAGTATCACCTGAGACAATTCTTGTTGGCGTTCCATGGGTT